CATGCGACTACGAACTTTATTTGGAGCCTGTCTCAACTTTAAGGGTCGACCCAAAATTCACACCTCAGTTGCCCAAAGCACCCACAAACAGAATGTGAACCTTTTGCCACTAAACACGGACCAAGGGGACTTCAAGCATCCCACGTTCAGGGGCAAAATGAGCTCGGAGTCGCTCCGCCTGACCGCCGCTGCTGGCGGGAAGCTTGAAGTCTGGCGCTTGCTCTCCAGGCTGAACCTGCCGAGGGGGCCCCTTGCTCCTTATGTTTCTGCCACCCTTTTGCCCAGAATAACCAACAGTTGCCCGTTTAGCTTTTGAAGGGCGGTTCGCTCGGCAGCCTACAGGGGATTTTATGAAGTCACTGGGAAGGCTTACGGGAAACTCGCACATTCCCGGACCGCTGCGTTGTCGAGCTTCTGGGTTGTATTGATGACTTGCCTTTGTGTTTGACGTCAAGCTGAGCTTTGCAGTCACCAAACCCAAAGTTTGTGCACTTCAGCGTGAAGGGGACTTGGAAGGACCTTCTGAAGTCTTGATAAATCTGTCTGAGACCGGCGGCTTGTCTCAAAAGCGGCCCAGAGGGGTTGGAATGTTGATGATCATGTTGAGAGATGTTCATTCCAGGAAACATTCGGGGAGCAGCCTCGAAGGGGCCTGGTTTGTCGCGATTACCACCGAAAAGGCACAGGCTGTCACAACACAGTTGCACTTGAAATCACCAGTCAGTCGATCCCCTTCGTTGCTAGAGGGCTGCTTGGGGGCAATGTCTCCAGGCTTCTTGAGCTTTGGCTCAAAACAACCGAATTCTAATTCAATCGGGCCTTTTGTTTGCTTCAGGCTGGGTTGGTTTGTTGCCTCAGGCTGCTGGTATGTGTCCAGGGATAGGCATTGGGTCTCTTGTTTTGTGCAGGCTCTTGGCTTTTGGGCTCCAGTACCCTGTACTATCAGGTGTGGGTGTGCGTGGGTGGGCTTTGCTATTCTGCAGGCACAAATGCTTTTCAAAACAGCCGAGCTGCTGGTTCGCTTTTTGTTTCAGGCTGCTGGTACGTGTCTGAGGATTGGCATTGGGTCTCTGCCTTGAGGGTGTTGTCTGCAGTCTCTTGATTTTGGGTTTCAGCACCACCAAGTGCCAGTGTTCGTGTGGGGGCAACGATGCTTCAGGCAGATGCTCTTTGCGGTTTTGCAGGAAGAGGGCAAAGAGTTTTGTGTTGAAACGGCCGAGTTCCAATTCAACTGGGCCGTGTTGCCTCTTGCTCGCTTCAGGCTGCTGCTGTGTTTTTGTTGGGGGGTTGGTCTCTGCCTTGGGATAGCCGCTTCTGGGTCCTGGCCGCCGAGGTGGGCTTGAGGTAGCATTGAAATACCATAGAAATCCACCATGCGAAATCCCTGAGTGAACCGTATTTCTTGATGAAAACAGTCGTCCAATGAAACTGTCCACAAAGAACAGGTTGCGGACGGTTCTTAAGAAATAGGCCGCCCCTTAAAATCCTCTCGTGCTTTCAGGTTCCCTTAAAAAAAAAAGGATCCTAAGGGTTCCGTACGACGTGTTACGCGCTGGGACTACGCCCGCTGAGAAAGATTCCAAATTTAGGCATATGTCCGGGATAAAATCCGGTTACTTTGGGCCATTTTTGGGCAATTTTAGGCCATTGCCCAACGTGTTCCCAGGGTGTAAAACGTCCAACGCTTAGGACGGCCACCGGCTACCGTTCGCCCACCAAATCTCAGGCCCGGGCGACGCCATTCGCCTTGAACTCCATGTACAGCCCTGGGCCCACCTGCAGAGAGCACAAATTGGAACCCTGAGATTTGGTCCGGCGTGGCATCCATGTGTACATCTATTACGGGCGCCCATATATATATATATATATGTATATATATATATATGTATATATATGTATATATATGTATATATATATATATGTATGCCAAAAACAGGAGCGCAAAGGAGAGTTGACACCTGCAACTAGAATGTAGAAAGGTAGGCCAGGGGGAGGGGGGGTGACCATATGTGTATATATATATATGTACAGATTCAATGTACATATTATAAACATATACTAGGCAGCAAACGAAACTTATTCATATCTCAGGCTGTTCATAACAGCGTATTTCTTAAAATCGATAAAAAGCGTTGATGCTCAATAAGTAGGTATGTTCCCTACCCCTGGATTGTCAAGGCTCAAGCATGTCAAGCCTGTGCGTGGGCGTGGGCGTGGGCGTGTGCGTGTGCGTGTGCGTGTGCGTGTGCGTGTGCGTGTGCGTGTGGGTGTGGGTGTGGGTGTGGGTGTGGGTGTGGGTGTGGGTGTGGGTGTGGGTGTGGGTGTGGGGTGGGCGTGTGCGTGTGGGTGTGGGTGTGGGTGTGGGTGTGGGTGTGGGTGTGGGTGTGGGTGTGGGTGTGGGTGTGGGTGTGGGTGTGGGTGAGGGTGTGGGTGTGGGTGTGGGTGTGGGTGTGGGTGTGGGTGTGGGTGTGGGTGTGGGTGTGGGGGTGGTTGTGGGTGT